GGGAGGCTCAGGGTAATTGGGAAGGGTTGGATGGGGTTGGTGAGGTTCAGGGTTTTTGGGAAGGGTTGGAGAGGGTTGGTGAGGTTTGGGGTCCTTGGGAAAGGCAGATGGGGTTGGAGAGGCTCGAGGTCATTAGGAAGGGCCAATGGGATTGGGTTTGGATGAGGTTTGGGGTCCTTGGGAAGGGTGGATGTGGTTGGTGAGGTTTGGGGTCCTTGGGAAGGGTGGATGGGGTTGGTGAGGTTTGAGGTCCTTGGGAAAGGCCAATGGGGTTGGGTTTGGGTGAAGTTTGGGGCCCTTGGGAGGGGTTGGATGGGGTTGATGAGGTTTGGGGTTGCTGGGAAGGGTGGATGGGGTTGGTATTAATCCGCCTGCTCTGCCCCTGTTAGAAATGAGCTTTGAGTGTGGTCCTGGGGACGGTTGATCCATCCCAAACCCAACAAGAGCGCAGGCAGCTTCCCAAGGCAATGCTTCACTGACACGGCATTTCTGGTTGGTGTCATGCAGTGGCTTACACTGTTTTGGGGACTTCAGGGCAAGCTTCGCTCCTTCCATCTCCCTGAGCACATTCACTACCAGGAGTGGGAAAACCTCTTCCCTGAGCAAGTCGAGGCGAACACAACCAATACCCAGGGACACCTTTCCCTGCCTTCGTTTCCCCGTCTCTCAATCGCCAGGACCAAAGCGTGGCCGGTTTGGTTTGAGGTTTGCTGTGCATGTTCTCCTTTCCCTCGCCTTGGTGTCCTCATTGACACAGGGGAAGTCTCTTTCCACGGGCGTTTGAACCCAGCGGGTCCGTTGATGCTCCCAGCATCCACGTGGAAGTGGTCGCTATGAGGGAGTTGCTGGGTGTTTGTGCAGGGCAGCTCCATCACATGCCCCCAAAACCACCATTTCTCATAAAAATGTGGTGGCGTTCAAACTGTAGAGGGAAAATTCTGATTAATTTTTTCTTTAATGTTGCTCAGTATTTTAGTGTGAGATGTGCGCAGTTCTCCTCACTTTTCCCTAAGCATCTGTGGCTCTGAACGTTAGAGGAAAAAAAAAAATCTGTGAATGGAATAACATTTAGAAAAAATACAGTATTCATTTATTTTTAATACTATTTAAGTTAAATACTGTATTTATTCTAATACTATTTAAGTAGTATTTTAATACTACTCCTCTGAAGTTCCCATTGCTGTTAACCAGCTGTCCCACTGACCCACGAGCTCGGGGCGGTCCAGGATGCCAGAGGCTGCTTTGGAGCATCTTTCCTCT